TATTTTGTTTGGGTGTGGTGGTGGTAGTGGTGGTAAACAGCTTTATTGAGATACAATTCCCGTACTGTAGATTTCACTCACTTACCCTATACAATATAGTGATTTTATTTTATTTTATTTAGTGATTTTATTTTTAACATATCCACAGATTATACCGACACCACTGTCAATTTTCGAACATTTTCATCACCTCAGGAAGTAACCTCATATCCTTTATGTTTTTCCCATACCTCCTCTCCATGTCTTTCCATCCCCCCAGCCTTAGGCCGACACTGATCTACTTGCTGTCTCTATGGATTTGCCTGTTCTGGACATTTCACATAAATGGAATCATATACTCTGTGGCCTTTTGTGATCAGCTCCTGTTGTCAGCATAATGGCTTCTGAGTTATCCATGTTAGAGCATGTATCAGTACATGCTTTTCTTTTTATTGCCAAATAATATTCCATCATGTGGATATACCACATACTGTTTTTTCATGGACATTTGGACATCTGAGTTGTTTCCACCTTTTGGCAGTTACGAGTAATGCTGCCATGAGCACTCCTGTACATGTTTTTATGTGGACATATATTTTCCTGGGAGTGCAGTTGCTGGGTCATACAGTAACTCTACGTTTAATCTTGTATTTTCTAAAGCAGCTGCATCATCTTACGTCCCCATCAGCAGTGTCTGTGGGTTCCAGCTGCCCCAGCTTCTCCACATCCTCGCTGCTCCCACCTGTCACTTTAATACAGCCGTCTCAGTGGGCATGCAGTGGGATCTCATGGTGGTTTTGATCTGCACTTCCCTGAGGGCTAGTGATGTCAGGTCTCTTTTCATGTACTTATTGACTGTTTATATATCTCTTTGGAGAAATATCTGTTTGAATCCTTTGCCTAGTTTTTAATTGAGTTGTCTTTTTATTTTTGAGTTTTAAGTCCTCATCCATTTTTTACCACAGAACTAGAACCAGCCGTTCCTTGAAGGAGCCCTGATTCCCTTTGCTGGTAAATGGCATTTAGAGACCATACCGAGGGGCCACGTTCTCATTGCTACTGTTTGGTCATACAAAACACATCTGGAGTTTTTACTAGTACTTCCAACTCACATTCAAGACCACCAGGGTTTTCACTTAACCTCATCAAACTCGCGTCTTAATTTTCTTCCTCCCACACTGAATTTGAGGTCTCCTCTGGCTGCCTTGTCTTTAGACCGTTTGAGGAATGCCAGGCAGTGCCCTGAGGCTGGACCAAACCTCTGGGAGCTGGCTTCAGGAGTCACTTACCACCCAGCCCGCTTGTGCACCTGGCCTGCTGAGCATTGCCTATTCTTGGCTGCACGGGAGGAGGAGGACACTTGCTCTGCTCTGTTGCTGCCTCATACCCCTCATGCTTTAGATGTGAGTAGGAAGGTCCCTATTTGTCACCCCTGTGATTTCACTCTGCTGCCTCAGTACAGGAAGGTCCCCAGTGGCAGCCCACAGTCAGTGTTAGTGAAGAACCTGTCTGCAAACAGCTGATCATTAGAGGTGCTGTGTCGTAGCCCCTCTTGCAGGCCCAGAATGTGACAGGGGGTCGAGTGAGGCAGGAGCAGGCACAGCAGGCTGATGGCTATAGAACAGGAGACTTTTCCGTCACGGTGTATGAGCCCCTGGAGGGCTTCAGCCGCAGTGTGGTGTCCTCATGGTGGGGACAGCATGGCAGTGAGCCTTATGATGTGAGTGTTGCCCACAGACACACCCATAAGGAACTCTTCCTCCTGCAGCCCACGTCTTCTGTGTCAGGCAGGAACTTCGTCTCGGTGCCAAGGAGAAGACGGGAGCAGATGGGGCTGTCTCTCCCTTACTCGAGTGCCATGGCTTGTATTCTGAATTGCTGAAGGTCACTTAAGATGGAAACAGCTCTGTGAGCATTTTCAGGATGAATAAGTATGATGCACTTAGAAAGATACGTTTCCAAATACCTTTTGGCTTTTGAAAACTGCTCATCAGTGAACTGGTAGCTGTCTGGTTTGCAATTGCCAGCTGTGCACACACAGTCTGGTACTGTCTCTCTGGGTCTTTTCAAACCCATGCCTCAGGAGGATTCAGAATCTGACATCCCTCAGAAATTCTGCCTTTAGTAGGAGGAGCTGGGCACTTGCCACATTATAAATGGTCTGCTTTGAATGAGATGAGGGTTGTTGGCACACTGTGTGCCAGGTATGTGCACCTTCTTAGGATTCTCATCTGTCTTAGGGTTCTCATCCAGAAGGTGGAGGGGGTGGTAAAGCTGCCTGCCCCCTTTACACCCACTACAAACCAAGGCCAGCACACCATGGAAGGGAGAGTTACTGCAGTCGTGTCATTGTTTTGGAATTCAACATACACTCGCACATATGTGCCTGCCATTCCGTGACTCTTGTGCCATTGCTCAGTAGTTGAGTTCACACAGCTGCCTCCCCAGAAAGATGACATTCTAATTATAATTGCTCGTGAATCAATGAAGAATTAGTGGAATTTTTCTCGTACGTCAGCAGATCCAAGTATGCAGGCCTCTATTCTTTCACCCTGCGTGTAGAAAAGAGTGAGCATGGATGTGCAGCTTCCAGGACACCCTGGTCTAGCCCTCTGACCCCTCTGATACTGTGATGCTCTTCCCTACAGCCTCTGACGGGCTTCTTCTCCCCTCCCACTATGTACTGTTTCTCCTCATCATGTCATCTGTCTCTTATTTTTCTGTCGTGTCCTATCCGTAATCACCAGCTAGGCAGCTGGTCTTTATCTGTGAGATATTATTTGACTTTACGTTGTGGTAACACATTGTGGTAACAGGAACATATGAACATTCTCCTTTCTTCCTCTAGTACTTGGCTCTCAGAGGTCTTCTCCATAATTCTCTAGGAATAGGCATTGGCTGTCACGGGGTGGGGTGGTGCTGATTCCAGCTGTACTGTGTATCCCTTTGGTTGTATTTTTTTAATTAGCATCTCAGAAGTAATGTTCATTATAGAAAGTGTACAAAATGCAAAGAAACAAAAAACAAGAAAATAAGTGGTGTTTTATAGGCATACTTTTCTTCTAGAAATGTATTCTTGGTTCTGTTTTATTTCTGAAACATACTGTATACACACACATACACATGCATGCGCATGCTCCAAAGTGCCACCTGAGGCTATGTTTCCACTTAACATTGTATTGTGTTGTTTTTCCATGCTGTCATATATTCTCGTGAGTTTGTCTTTTATTGGCAATGTAATGTTCTGTTTGGTTCTATCATAATTCACATAATCAGTTCCTAGCATTAACTGTTGAATTATTGAGTATCAAGTAGTCTGATATTATCTATTACATATAGTGCTGTGATGACCATCCTTTGTGGCTTATTTTTTGCATACCTCTATGACATTCTCTATGACATATTATAAAAAGACATATTTAATTTGGACACATACTGACAAATCATCCTCTAAAAAGGCTGTTGAAAGCATTACTCTCACCCACCATGTATGGAAAGTTCGATCTCATCACCATCAAAGCTGGAGTCTCTGATGATTACTGAGCACTGGTGTGTACATTTGTGAGTTTCCTCTCTCATATTAGTTTTGGTATGTTCAGCCTTTTCCTCATTTTTGTGTTTCCGAAAGAATCTTTGCTCTAGGGAGGATATTAACTCTGCCTTAGCACATATGTTGTGATTCCTGCGTGTGGCATTTTGAGTGTGAAGAGCCTTTGCAGTCTGATTTAGGGACATGTTGCTGTTGCCCTCTTACACCCATTGCTGCCTCCTCTGTAACTTCAGAAATAGATACTCATGCTGGAAGCTCCACCGCCACCTGCAACACAAGTAGGTCTTACCCAGATGTCCATCAACAGGAGAATGGATAAAGAAGTGGAGGTTTATCCATGGCTGGGAATACAACTCAGCAATGAAAAGGAACCAGCTAACCAGCTACTTGTGCCCTGCTGAGCAAAAGAAGATGAACAGAATAGTGACAGAGTAGGACTGCAGAGGTTAGGGAAAGCGAGGTGGGGCTCATAATGAGTGCAGATTCTTCTGTAGACAATGTGAAGTCATAAAAGCAGCTGTGCTGGTGGTAGCTCATTTCTGTGAGCAAAAAAGCCATCAGGTTGTCTGCAGTCAGTCAGTGGCTGAATTTGTGGCCTGTGAATCAGATATCCATATAGCTCTTCAGAGAAAGATGGACGCAGATAAGGACATACTGCAATGGTCCCATTTCTATCAAGTTCTAGGCAAAAGTAATCTAAGAAATAGAAGTGAAACAGTACTGGGGTGGGGCAGATGGACCAGAGAGAGCAGCGGAAATGCTCAATGTTCTGAGTGGTGCATACATGGGGATTTGTGATCATAAGAACCCATCAAACAGGGGTAAAATGCATTCTAATTGCGGGGTTGGGGGGCGTGAGGACAAGTAGGTCCTGATCTTTTTTTTTTTTCTATTTTAAAAAATGTTTTTTCCAAAGTCCTGTCTCTGCTGGGTGATATACCGTTAACTTTCTGTCCCTTGACAAAGATGCCAACCAGTCATCTCTGTATACCAGCTGCTACCACACCCAGCACCAGCTCACTTTGGGAAACCACCTTCCCCTCACCAGAGGTTTGCTCATTAACATAGGCAGCATCCTGCATGTTGTATAATGCAATGACTTTTAAAAACTAAAGAATAGTTCTTGCCCCCCACAAGCTGACTGGGAATCAGATCCACTGGACTTTATTTTGTTACTAAACTTAGTCATTTTGAGACCATGGGGTTTGTCATTTCCCCCTTCCAAGAGGAAGTGCCATTATGCATTTGAAACTTCTCTACATGTTACGAAGGTATTTTTGGAGGTTGGGGACATTTTGGAGAGTCATGCAGATTATCTAAGTCAAATAATACTGCATTTCTGGCGCGTGGGAAATCTGTAGGCACAAAAGACTAAGTACTGGAGGACAAACGAGTGACCTGCCTTGTGGTATATACCAAGCAGCGAGGAGCTTTCTTAGCACCTCATGCTTCTCTCTTGTATGGGGTCTAGGAGCTGGTCAGACTTACCATCGAGAAACAGGGGCATCCATCTCCAACCAGCCCAGTGAAACCCAGTTCCCCAGCCTGCAAACCGGACGGGTGAGTTCTGACTAAACCCTCCAGTCACTGTGGTCACCTTGGGTCTACACTTAAGAAAGAATGGGAGCTAAAGTAGGTAGGCTATTTTGAGGCATGTGTTCTTTTTCAGTGACTTGTGGGTGAGCACCTGTATTACTGTAAAATGTGTACAGCTCAAACACGTTTTGAAGTAGTGCCCGATCTCAAGGTTAACTTATAGTCGTTGGGGCTCTTTCTCCGGATACCATGTGAGTGTGCACGTGACCACACCTGTACTTTTCCAGAGCAGCTTCCTTTCATGATTGGAAAGAACTTTGAAGGCCTGGGTTTTGGGGATTTGGCTTGAGAGCTTTTAGCTTTGTCAAGAAAATAAACCGAGGGCAATGTGGACGGTTCTTAAGGCCTTGCAACAAGTACTACTACAAGCCCCTAGAAAAAATATAAAACATAAATTTGGAGCCTTTGGAGAGCCTTTAGACCATGGAGTCTGAGGCTTCCTCTTACAGACAAGGAAACTGAGATGCAGTCAGGAGGACTTGGCCAGGCTCCTGCTGTGTGTTGGTGATACACCCAGACTCAAAACCCATCTCTGCTGTGGAGCTCCAGACACAGTGTCCAGGGCTCCTGCCCCTCGGCCCGGTGCCCCCCATTATTTCCATGCTCGGGTTCCATTCCACCCCCCAGGACCTCTGTGTGCTCTGTAACCTTCTGTAATCCAAGTTCTTCTCATTCTCCAGCCAGTCTGAGCTCCCCCTGACAGATCGCGAGGTGGAGATTCTCAACAAGACAACTGGTATGTCCCAGTCGGCCGAGCTACTCCCAGACTCAACAGATGAGGAGGTTGCGCCCCCTAAGCCCCCCTTACCTGGCATTCGGGTGGTTGATAACAGGTAATTGTTTTTCTTGCACCTTCTTCTACTATGATATAATCTATTGAAAGAATAGGTAGATGAACAAAATGAAGACAGTGCCATTAGGTCAAGAACTTGGAACCAGCCCTTTGCTCTTTGGAAGCCTTAGAATCTTGATCTTTCTTGGGAAGGGCATCTGTGGAGGATGTGAGCCCAGCCCCAGTACCTTCCCTTGCTACACACTCCAAGAACTCCCCTTGGAGTGCCTTACAGTGTTAGTACAATTTATTATAGAAGGATAAGAAAGGATTTTTCTGATTTTTGGTTTTTTGGCATTGATAGGATTTACTTGGGCAGTGATGGTGTGGGACAAGAGTTGAAAGTGTAAAAAGTAGGTGTAATGTGTCTGATAATGAAAGAATCCCACATTCTGTACCCTAATATCTTTTTAAAGAGCTTTTGGGTTATTCGGTTTGATAGAATTTCTTGGTCTGTTTCAGTCCTCCACCAGCATTGCCACCGAAGAAAAGACAGTCAGCTCCATCCCCGACCCGAGTGGCTGTTGTTGCCCCCATGAGTCGAGCCACCAGTGGCTCCAGTTTGCCTGTTGGAATTAATAGGCAGGTAATGTAGCCCCATCTGGCAAGGCAGAGGAAGGCTTTAGGTTTGGGAACTTTAATCCTGAAGCTAAAAGAAACCCAGTGGTCTTCAGCTCCTAGCACTGAGAGGATCATTCCTTCTCTTGACAGGACTACAGGACCTGGTAGAAATTCCCACATGGCCTGGGGGGGTGGGGGTGGGGGTGGGGGTGGGGAGAGGAATGGAGAGACTGGAGCTGAGGAGTGTCTCCTGAGGACATCTGAGCCTGGCCCCAGGGCCCTCGCTTGCCACACAGTCCCAGCACTTGTAAAAGCTTCTTTCTCAGAAGTCACAGACATGGGTTTTTATTGCTTACATCAAAGACAGGCTTTCCAACCGGGTGTCTGAGTTTGGCAGTCTCCTTCCCTAAGTAAACGTACTGATTTCTCTCCCCTGGACTCTGCCACCATTTCTCAGAAGTGACTTGGGCTTTTTATTTTTCCACATGAGGATTTTGATGTGGACTGTTACACACAGAGGCGACTCTCAGGAGGCAGCCACTCATACGGCGGAGAGTCGCCCCGTCTGTCCCCCTGCAGCAGCATAGGCAAGCTCAGCAAGTCAGATGAGCAGCTGTCCTCTCTGGACAGGGACAGCGGCCAGTGCTCCCGGAACACAAGCTGTGAAACACTAGGTGAGTCCCAGGCATCTTGGTCATTCCTCCTGTTTCATCATCTTTTGGTGGCTGCTCTGGGGTCACACGGCCCTAGCCAAGTCATTCAGAACCTGTTTTCTCATCTGCAGAGTGAGGGTACCAATATCCACCTCTCTCAAGGAAGTTGAAAGTTTGGATGAAATCACATAGGAGATCCTCAGATGGTAGCCGTTATTATGGTTAATCTGTCAGTGTACCATCTGACTCCCTTTGCCAGCATTAAGAACCATCTGTTCAGAGCTGTAGATGAAAGGGAGAGCCCTTGACGACTTTTGACAGAGGGTGAAGTCAAGTGACCAGCACATGCTGACCTCCTGGTTGGTGCAGAGCATGTGCCGTGGGGGCTGGAGGAAAGTCTAAAAGGCAGCTTGCGAGGAGATTTCAAGAGCGTTAAACTACTCATGTCCCATGAGCTGGACATTTCACTTTGAGAATTTATTGTAACATGATCAGAGATTTATAGCAAGATTTCTATCCAAGGACATTAATCTCAGCATCACTGGGAGTACTGGTAAACTGGAAGCTAATGACTCAGCGGTAGGAAATCTTTTTTTTTTTTTATTTTTATTTATTTATGACAGTCACAGAGAGAGAGAGAGAGAGAGAGAGAGAGAGAGAGAGAGAGAGAGAGAGGCAGAGACACAGGCAGAGGGAGGCTCCATGCACCGGGAGCCCGATGTGGGATTCGATCCCGGGTCTCCAGGATCGCGCCCTGGGCCAAAGGCAGGCGCCAAACCACTGCGCCACCCAGGGATCCCCTAAATCTGATGAGTTGTCATATATCCACTTGGTAGAATAAATATGTAGCTCTGAAAAATCAGTGACAATACACTAGATAAAATCTAAGACCATGGACATCACAGTTTCTCAGTTGGATTTAAAAAACAAAAAATCCTAGGGGGGAAAAAAGACTTTTAAAAATCCATCAAAATGTAAACAGAGGGCAGCCCGGGTGGCTCAGCGGTTTAGCACCGCCTTCAGCCCAGGGCATGATCCTGGAGACCCAGGTTTGGATTCCATGTCAGGCTCCCTGTGTGGAGCCTGCTTCTCCCTCTGCCTGTGTCTCTGCCTCTCTCTGTCTCTCTCTGTGCCTCTCATGAATAAATAAATCTTTAAAAAAAAAAAGGTAAACAGATACTTAAATTACGGGACTGTGGATGATTTTTATTTTCCTGATATGGGGTTTTTTTGGCCATATTTTCTACAGTGGTCACACATATTTCTTTTCTTTACAATAAGAAATTAGGAAATTACAAAGAACAGGGTAGCAAACAGTCATTTTCCCACCTGCTTTTACTTTTTCAGAGGGAGAAGAATGGGCAATATACAATAAAGCATAGAGATGAGATGGGAATTATGTTTGCATTGCACACGAATAAAAGGGATTAGGAAGAGCAGAGAGTTGGATGGTTTCTTTCTGCAGGGCCTTGTGGCTAATGGGTATGTTTCTCCTGTTGTGAACACAGATCATTATGATCCTGACTACGAATTCCTTCAGCAAGACCTCTCTAATGCAGACCAGATACCTCAGCAAGTGGCCTGTAACCTTAGCCCATTGCCAGAGTCCTTGGGAGAGTCTGGGTCTCCATTTCTTGGCCATCCTTTCCAGTTGCCTCCAGCACCTGGCAGCTGTCCCCAGCCAGAGGGGCCCTTGGCCCCAGGACAGCAAATAGACATGCCACCTGCTCTCCCTGAGAAGAAGCGCAGGAGTGCGGCCTCCCAGACCACGGACAGCTCTGGCTGCAGGATGTCCTACGAGCGGCACCCCTCACAATATGACAACATCTCGGAAGATGACCTGCAGAACCCAGCCTCGGTCCCGTCCGTCCCCTTCACGCCCTTTGCTGCTATTCTCCCCTTTCAGCAAGGAGGGTCCTCAGCCTCTGTCGAATTTGTGGGTGATTTCACTGTTCCTGAATCAACAACGGGTGACCCAGAAAAACCACCTCCTCTACCAGAGAAGAAAAACAAACACAGTAAGCTTTTGTCGAGCTGTTGTCAGGAAGCATACTTTGTAACCTAAAATAGTATTGCATTTTATCTGAGCATTAGGCCAGAATCAAACCAGTGGCCTCGTAATTTCATAAAAGATGGGGCCCTTGGTACATGGACACTTCAGGAGCTTTGTTTTCTTAGTACTGGTGATGGTTTTTAGAGCCTGATAAGCCGGCCTCTCCTTATGGCCTCTTAGATCTTAGGCCAGGCCTCCACAGAGTCCGAGTGTTTGGCCAGAACACACAGCAACAAAGAGAAATGAATGTCACAGCTTCAGGACAGCATAACAGTGACATCCGGGTAAAGCAGGATGGACGTTTGAATTTAATTAGAACTTACTACGCCCACAGAGGGGTTTTCTGAATATCCCTGACAGCGTGTGGGGTTAGAACTCTTTAGAGAGTTCCCTGGCCACCCCCCCATCCCCATTGCAGACATGAAATGTCACGTAATGACTTAGAATCTGAGGAGGCCTGGTTGGAGCTGCTGAGGATATTTCTTAGGCCAGATATTTTTAATATATGATGTTATTAGGGCTGGGGAGGGGAGGCTGAAATTTTAGATTTTTGTAGTTGGGATATTTTCCAACTGTAAATTGGCCATCAAATTCCTAAGTAGTGTCCTACAGGAGATTGTTTTTCTGCTAAACTGCTCCCCGTTGCCAGTCTCTTCCTGCTCTGCCCTGTCCCCGGCTCCACTAGCACAATTCTGTTCCGTCTTTCTTGGACATACTGGCCATCACCATTTGGATGTGTGTGTAGTCATCTGGGCCATACAGCCCCAGGGCTCCCTGGCCACAGTTGAAGCGTCCAGCAGAACACTTCTGTCGACTAGAATCGACTCTCCATTCCATATTCCCAAATGAGACCATCCAGTTGGCTCCAGCTAGATTGGGGCCCACCCTCAAAGACAGGGAGAGTGGTTAAAGGCAGCAAGGGGTAGCCCCAGGGGCAGCTGGGTGGGCCTTGTCCCCCAGCGGGAGGGAGAGGTGGCTCTGTAAGGCCACAAGGCTGAGGTCATTCCCCTCTGTCCTTCGCTCGTGAGAAACCAGGGCACTACTAGAGGGATGGCCTGCAGCAGTGCCAGGGCATTTCCCTCTGTGCCTCTGCACAGACATGTGCAAGTGTCTAGAGAGCTGTTGGCCTTTCCCTTCCACCCGCCTTACCTGGACTTGAGCAGCATGCCACTCTGGGCTCACACCCTTTCCTCTCCTTTCCTTGAAATTCTCTGAACCCAGAACGCAGGGTAGAATTGCATCCATGCAAACTGCAGCAGATGTGTGGTATTACTGGGCTGTGGACTAGGGGCCTCACCTTAGGTTCTAGAGTAGGCACAGGCCATGGCCCTCATGCAGAGCTGTAGAGAGGAGGAGGGGAGCCATCCACTGTTCCCTTTCCAACAGCCTCAAGTCTCCGGTGGCTGAAAATATTTTCTATTAATTTAGACATCTATTTTTAGACTTTATCTCTTCCATCGGTGTCTGGAGCACTTTGGTCTGAAAACCTTGAAAAATTACTAATAGCTTAAGATGTGGTGCGCCCTGGGTGAAAGCTTCACACACCACCATATTTAGTCTTTATACCCTGGCCCCAGGCAGTGATATTAGCACGGTTTATAGATGAAGAAACTGGAGTATAAAGGAATAAGCCTTGCCAGGATCAGCTGGCAAATGGGTGGCAGATCTGGGCTTCAGAGCAGTCCTGTGTTTTCCCAGCACAGTGCACTGCCTCCCACCCTAAGGAGGAAGGGATCTGGCCCTCCTTTGTGGAACCTGTATGGGTTTCAGTAGTGACCCTCAGGCAGTAGGGAGTCTTTTCTTGTCCCCTGTGAAAGGACCCCCAAACTTGAGGCCTGGGCCTCCTCTCCAGTCCACTTTTCACTCCCCAAGGGGACCCTTTGGGAGTTCTAGTCTCTGCCCTGGTGGAAAACTTGCAGAGTTGCACTGAGAGAAAGGAGGGAGATAATCATAATTCCTTATAATTGGCTAATGCTGGACAAAGCTCATACATCCACAGTCCTGATATCATAAAGTGTCCTTCTTTGGGTCGTACTGACATCCTGAGGGCCCTCAGCCCCTCTTGCTGAGGGTGGACCTTGAGCCCAGCAACGTTCCTAATCACTGTGCACAGTCCTGGATGCCTGCTGGAGTGCCAACCTGCCAAGCATTCCCAGTGATGCAGGCTGCTCACTTCTTTGAGCTCCTGTGCCAGCTACCTTTGAAACAGACCCAGTCTTCCTTATTTCTCAAAGGTTGTGAACCTCACTGCTGTGTCTGTGCTCAGTTAGCAGGTCTCTGCAAGGACTTCCACATCTGGAAGTCCGTTCTTATTGAAGCTTCCTGTTTCAGCAGGCAGAAGCTTGCATTCAATTCAGTCTTTTTTAGGGAGCACTGGTAGGCATTTGGGATCCCCTTCAGAGGCTTGCATCTTCTCTAGAATCTCATTGTGTTGGGGGTGCAGCATGGAAGAAAAACATCATGGTGAGCTACACTTCCCTTCTGGCAGCAGTGCCCTCATGAGCAGGACTGCCTTTACCTACCTGCCTTTTAGGGCCAAGCTCCGCTCAGTGCTTGGGGAGCAAAGACATTCTTATTAATTCTTTTAAATAAAGAAGATGACTTTGAACCTCTTCCTTCAGTGAAGGGCACCAGAAAGCCATCCCTGGAGAAAGGCATTTCCTCTCTAGCTTGACCACAGTTGAGGGTCTCCAGTTAATCCCCCAACTTTGAAGTTATGTGAAAATACAGAACAAAGCCCTGCAAAATTGTCCTACTTTTTATTAATATCCAACAGGTGCTCATAGCACTTGCAACATGACCCAGGAGGATAGCACCCAATCTTGGATGATGCCTTTGACCTCTGCCATCCATGACTGCCACACACACACCTAAGTTCCTTTGCTTCCAAACCTGGGACCTTCTTTCTTCCCAGCTCCCGTTGTCACTAGTTCCCCCGTGATGCATGTGTAGCTCTGTAAGTAAACTGATCAGCCCTCATTCCTAACTCACCAGTCAGGGAGGCATAACAGCATTTTCCCTTCAAACATGGGCATGTTGGCGTGCACAGGGAATTCCCTAGCTCTTGGGAGCTTCCTCCAGCACCAAGAGAACGAGAAAGGTGGTACTGCATTTCAGGCCAGCCTCGACCTAGATTTTGCTGTGCGAAGTGTTGAGTTCAGGTTCTAGTCCCACAGAGAAATGGGGTCTGGAGAAGGCCTGCTCACACCCAGCCGCCCAGCCTCACAAGGGTGCCCAAGGGCCAGACACCATCAGCAACAAGTTGCTGCTCTCCCCAAACCTGTGCAGTCTACAGAAGGGCGTGGCTCTGGAGTTGGGGCTCCTGTCGGTAACCCTGAAAGTCAGGAGTAAGGTGCACGCTGAGGGCTCCACGCCTGCCTCAGGAAAGGGCGCCTGCAAGGATGGGTCCCTGAGAAGTCATTCCTCCTCAGGTAGGGGAGGCCCCCACTGACATCTGCTGCTGGGGTTTCCGGCTGTGATGCTGCATGGCTTAGGCAGAGAGCCTGCCCCTGGGCAGCCACACAGCTCCAGGCAGTTCGACCATGAGGAGGCAGCGAAGCATCAGATGCCAGGTGGCAAGGGCTGGGGTTTCTGAAAGGATGTGTAGGGAGGACAGAGTGCACATGTTTTAATTCAAGCACGCCTTTTCTCGCTGTCTGTCCCTCCCCTGAGGATGTTCTAGAGCCTCTCAGCTGAAAGGAAGAAATGGAATTTAGTGGCTGTTACTTCTTGTTCACCCAGTGGGTGCTCTATGAGACCCACCCAGGGCTGTCACCTGGTTTAGCAATTCACTCAATAGGAACAGATGATGTGTGTTTCATTCACTCATTCTCTCTACAAATATCTATGGACACCTGCTGCATGTCAGGTACTGGGCATGGCCCCTGCCCCCCAGGAGCTTCAGCTCTCCAGTGATCAGCAGTAAATCCTGTGGCATCTGGTTTGAAAATAGATCCTGAATCAAATCATCCTCATCACCTCCACCCATAGCACGATCTGTCACCTAAACAACCACAGTGGCCCCAGAGCTGTCTTCTCGAGACAAAGCAGCTCTAGGCAGGCCCGGAGGGGAGCCCTTCATGGGTTCCCAATGGCCTGGCAGCAAGCCCGCCTCCTTGCCCTGTTCCCTCAGCCTCTCATGACCTCCCAGGCTATCGCCTCACTCCTTCTAGTCTTCTGTTGCCGTGTTCTGCTCACCTGGTGGGCCCCTGGCCCAGCCTTAGCCTTGGTGTAGGAGGTCTCTTGTAGCTTATCCATATTCTGGAGAAACACCCCCAACTAGCTCACTTCACTGTTTTCTGACTCCTGGAGGTGGTGAGCCTCACATAGGCAGAGGACTTGCTTGCTGGCCCCTGTGTAATCCCAGCACCTGTGCCAAGGGGTTCATAAAATCATACACGTGGGACAATCCCACAGGTGGCTCATTGTAGGAGGGGCTGAGAGGACACCGTGGAGGGATAAGGAAGGGCTGCTGGTCAGATGGCTGGTGAGGAGCTTCTGGGGAGGCTGAACCACAAGGGTGGGCAGAGCCTGCTCAGCAAGCCTGGTCGGATGAGGGGAGCAGGGGAAGAGCATGTGTACACACCCCTGACCATTCCAGGCAGGGGAGGAAGACCACACGCCAGGCGCCTGGGATCAGAGAAACGGGCAGTGGTGCCGAGCCTCTGCCGCGACCAGGGGCGCCAGGAAACCCCCAAGGCTTTTCAGCAGCAGGGGGTGTATGCTTTTTAAAAAACAGACTATTTTTTAAAGCGGTTAAAGACTATTTCTTAGAATAGTTTTAGGTTCACAGCAACATTGAGCGGAAAGTACAGGGAGTTCCCACATGTCCCGGCCTCCCCCACTGTCACCTCTCTGCCAGAATACTGTGTGTTAGTCACCCAGCCTGCACGGGTGTGTCACCATCCGCCAGAGCCAGAGTTTATGCAGGGCTAGCTCTTGCTGTGTGTGCAGAGGTTTGGGCCTGTGGGCAATGTTGTAGTCCTGCAGGGTGGTGTCTATGAGGACCTCTGTGGGCCTGGCCGCGCCTGGGGAGCAGGGAGGGGCCTGCTCATGGAGGGTGGCCATGTCTCCCACAGTCACCCTCCCCAGTAACACTGGGGCCACCCCACCCCCACCCTCTCTCTGTATTACAGTGCTGGCCTACATGCAGCTGCTCGAGGACTACTCGGAGCCGCAGCCATCCATGTTCTACCAGACGCCACAGAACGAGCACATCTACCAGCAGAAGAACAAGCTCCTCATGGAGGTGTACGGCTTCAATGACTCATTCAGCACCGAAGCCCCGCAGGAGCTGGCACCGCCCCCCGCCCTGCCTCCCAAGCAGCGGCAGCTGGTAAGCCACCCTCTGCCCTGCCCCACTGCCGCCGTGACCCTCCGCTTCCGCCAGCCCCAGGCAGCCGTGGACCACACCGCTTCCCACGCGGGCGCTTTCATTTCCTCCTGACAAGCTTCCCCATCTCCCCACCCTGGGGGTGGTGGCGCCTTTCTCTTCCAGAGCAGGCCCCCATGCAGCTGGGCCTGGCTTGTACTCAGAATGTTTGCTTTCTCTGCTGACAGTCTCTTGTATTTTTCCTCTCTTCTTTGGCTCCAGTATAGACCTCCCAGAAAGGAGGGACTCAATCAAGGCACAGGGCATGGTCTGTGTACGGCCATCTGTGGACTTGATTTACATAATGGCCCAACTACATAGAGTGACTTACATCCCACCCTGGCCAGGGATGGCCCCGTGGAAACAAGCTCTATTGAAGCACGATGGCCTTAAACAGAACCATTCTGTATTCCAGGCATGGTGCCCTACCTCCTTTAAAAACACTCCTGTGTGAGGATTCCCTGTAGGTAATGAAGCCCAAGTCAGGGCAGGCTGTCCTGCATGGGCCATGTATGAGATTCTAGGACCAGGTAGGGGCGCAGATCAGGTGTGCCTGCTGCACGCCTCAACTCTGTTCCTACTGCTCCCAGTTTGCCAGCCTGGCAGACTTCGGTCAGGTGGTAGGATCCAAACATCTCATCTGGCCCTGCTTCCCAGGAAGAATACACCTCAGAAAGGGATCCTTGACCTATTCAGAACTGCATGTGCTATTTTGCTCCTCGGCTGGTCAGCCTGGTAATGTTTTCCCCACAGAGAGGACCGTCCATCTTCCGTCCTTCGTGAGTGGATGCAAAGGTGCTGCCCTGCCTTTTCTGGGAAGCAGCTGCCAACTGGACAGCCAGCAGTCTGGGTTACTCCTTGAGCCCCCAGTCTGCCCCTGGGTCCCTGAACCTTCCTGCATGTGGTGAGCTCAGGGACTGACTAAGCAAGGCCTGGAGTTGGCAGTTGTGTGTTCCAGGCCTGCCACTACCTAGCCATGTCTCATGACTTGCACTTAGGGCCTCAGTTCTTCAGCCACCCTGCCCGCCACATAAACACCTGAATATGCCCCAGTGTGGGTCTAAATGGCTCAGAAAGTGTTTCAAAAAGGGATCTTTACCATGGAAACAGAAATGCCTGCCCCAGGGTGCCCTAACTTAAAATGTTTGGTCTAACAGCTAAACTGGATTTTGTTGAGATCTGCAACACTCTCAGACCCTCCTGCCAGTGCCCACAGGTCTTCATCAGTCATCCTGGGGCATCTCCTCTGCTCCATGGAGCCCGTAGGCTTCACACAGATCCCTAGGGAGCACTCTTGGCCTTGGAGCCTGTGCAGGAGAGCCACTGGGCAGTCCCCATGCTGGCAGGGCAGGAGTGAGGGGCCTAGGAGTAGAGCAGACATCCTGCTGAATGCCTCCCTGTGGAAGCATTGGGGCTTTGGTTTGGTTTCACATGATCCTCCCCTCAGCCTCTCACCCCCATGTTAAGTGAACTGAGGCTGAGAAAGGCAGAAAGACTTAATTGGAGCCCACCCACCACTGAAAGTAGAAGATGAGGGACCACGCCCAGCTGACTGAAGCCCAGGCACTGCTGTGACGTGCCCTGTGCCTCCACCTGGCATGCCCTTTCTCAAATGCAGATGCAGAAAGGACTGTCTCCATTTCTCCAGCAAAAATAGTAGTAGTAATTGTGCCTGTTAGCCCCTGTATAGTGTGGGAGGGACAGTTCCAAGTGCTTTACACACACACTGTCCCCATTTTACAAATGAAGACCCTGAGCCACAGAGACCTTTAAATAATACCCAAAGCCAAATAGGTCCCAGATGGTGAGGCTCAGGGTCAAAGCCAGGAGGTCTGGCTCCAGGAGCGTCCTCTGCGGAAGCATGAATAACTGCATGGTCCACTCCCCACCAAGGAAGAACTTGAGGCCCTAAGTCAATGGAAGAGCCAGACTGGGAGCCAGGCCCTCGGGGTTCTGAGCCTGTTTGGCCTCTCCACCTTACCACCATTGGACACAACTTGTGTGAAAGTTAGCTTTTTAAATCCACCACAAGGAGATGAAGCAGGGCATGCTCTTGTCCAGGTACACCTTGGCAGGCATCTTTGATTCCTGAGTTGAGCCAAGAAGCCATCCCTCTCCAGAATGTCCCAGCAGAGTTAGGTAGCAGCCTGCGGAGCCTCATGTGTACTTATCTGACTGTTCTCTGCTTTTTTCCCTCCTTCCCTGTCTTCTCTCTCATCCCTTCTGTCCAGCAGGCCTCCTATGCTGCTTCTTCCTTCTCCTCTGTCTCCTACTGTGTCCAGCAAACTAAAGTGGCCTTCACCCCCGAGGACGGCAGTGCCACTCAGGGCATCAGTGTGTCCGTCTCTAACTCCTTTCTCAGCCGGCATGGCAACTTGCCTGTGCCCTCGGTGAGTCACTCCCTACTGTTCTTTGCTTGGAAACATGAGTGCCATCTTTCATTTATCACCTGTGCCTCTTGTCACCTGTCCTGCCACCCAGCCCTGGCTCTGTCCTCACAGACCCTGTACCCAACGGGAAAGGGCATGTGTGGTTGGTTCTCTGTGGCCCAAGGACCGTGTGAAGTGTTGGGGTGGGGCAGGTTGGGGGTAGGGATGGGGAAACATTAGCAGCCACACTCATTACCACTCAGGCATAAACTGGCAGAAATGTCTTGGCCTTTTTATTCTGATCTCCCATTGAGCTCTGGGTCAGCCCTATAAGTGTTTTGTATTTAGAAAGAAGTATTCCTCCTATGGGCACCAGGGCCAGGGAGAGCACTTTAGCAGGGCACGACGGAGTCTAAGTCTGAGGAATGTGTTGGTTAACCTTTCCTGTGTAGCAAACCACGCCAAAACTCAGTGACTTTAAGAACGACAGTACCCGTTTGTCACTGCTTAGGACACAGGTTGGTAGGGTGACTGCCCGTCTGATTTTGACTGCCCTCACTAACATCTCTGGAACCTCAGTGGGGACAGCAGGCCGATTTGGCCGTGATCTTCATGACCCTCCAGCCTCCATGAAGCTAGCCTGGGCTTGCTCCTGTGGCAGCTGGCGAGTTGCCAGGGGAATTGATGGGAGGATGCGAGGTATCTTCAGGCCTAGGCTCAGAACTGACACACTGTGCCTTCCTAACATTCTCTCCATTGAATCATAGGGCCTGTCTGGGATTCCTGGAGTAGGGAGCTAGACTCCGCCTCTTGGGGGGAGGGGGCTGCTGCTCAGTCACCTTGCCGAGGGACATAGCTATGCAGCCGAGGGAAATGGGTGCAGCCTTTTCTGTAAAGTTTACTTGTTTACTTCTGAAACTTATAGGACAGTAACCATTTGGGAGGCACAGTGCTGCTCTGTTGCCTTTCGCTGGAATCTGCATCTGTCAGGGATCCTAAACAGCTACCATTCTTCCTTTAATCTGCTGGGACTGAGCAGCAGGACAAGAGCTTGGATGGGGCTGTGTTTGGGTTCTACTTAAAATCAGTTTTGCCTTTGGGTAATTTACCTATCCCTCCTGGCCTCCGTTTCTTTCCTTTGAGATTATACTTATCTCCTACTTTGTGATTGTGGAGATTAAGTAAAATCATAAAAGAAAGCTGATTATTATAGCTCTTGCTCTTAGAGTTCTAGGTTCTAGTCTCGGCTCTGTCCTCGTTCTGCACATGACAGCTTGGACAAATGGCTTCACCTACCTGGACTTCCTTTACCCTCTACAACCTGGTGACTGGTTGACCTAGTGACTCTTAGAGACCTAGCCAAGCTCAGGTTCCCAGTGTGGTCTTGTCTGGTTTCCATCTTTGGGAACCACCCATCCAGAGCCCAGGCTAAGATGGTCCTGCCTGCTGTGAGAAATGTGTTGTTCCTTTGGGGGCTAGAGCCTAACTTTTTAGAGCCCTCAGGAATCCTGTGTTTGCTATAGAAATGCTAAATACCCCTCCCTCCCCACCCCCGGCCCCTGGCACACAGACATCCTCTGTTTCCTCAGCAGGCACTTCTAGCAAGCTCCTTTCACAAATCGTGCAAAACTTGGCCTTTACACAATCTTGCTCTTGACTGTTTTTTCCCCCTCTATGAACAGAAAGTAAGTGTGAGTTATCCTAAGAAAGTGTCTACAACGTCCCTTTTAAACAGTTTGAGGTTGGAAGGCTGTCAGTGAGCTGAACTGTTTGCTACAGAGTTGATGAAAGTTTGAGGGCATTTCATTTAAGTTTGGGCATGAACGTGTCATGATTTTCATCCCTTGGGGGCAGGTGAGTCTCAAGACACCATGCTTTGGAAAGACCGCTTTCTCCATACCAATTCCACAGTGCAGCCCAAGGGAGTGAGTATGTAAAGGTGCTTTTATATTTTAAAAGGAAAGTCCCCCAGCCTCCAGAGCTGTTGGTAATGGCTTGAATGTTTGGAACATTTGACATCTGATACGCTGAAACTCCAGAGAAGTGGTTTAGTGCAATGCCAACATATTCTTCATGTGTTCTCTGCTTACATTCTGAGGTGAACCCCAGATGGAGGGCTTTGGATTTCTCTCAGAGCGGCCCTTTATTCCTGAATCTCCTCATTCCTGGGCCTTTGTCATCCTTCCAACATGGAATCCTGAAGGGTGCCCCTTAGGAATACAACAGTTGTCAAATCTGAAGACACCTGACTCTGTCAACGACCTGTTACTTCTGCCAGGGAGAATTCTAACCATTAAAAACCTCTTGGGATATCTGGGTGGCTCAGTTGGTGAAGCATCAGCCTACTCTCAATTTTAGCTTAGGTCATGATCTCAGGATCATGAGCTTGAGCTCAGGTCGGGCTCTGTGCTGGGCGTGGAACCTGCTTAAGATTCTCCCTCCCTTTCCCCCGCCCTCCACTCATGGGCGCACTTCCACACGCGTGCTCTCTTTCTCTCTCTCAGACTCTCTCAAAGAAAAAGAAAGGAAAGAAAACCTCTTGAATTAGAATGGGAAAGCTGCATTGACAAAGCTTAATTGAAGTAGGGGCTCAGGGGCACCTGGTGGCTCAGTGGGTTAATCCTCTGCCTTCAGCTCAGGTCATGATCTCAGGGTCCTAGGATGGAGCCCCCCCCCCCCCCACGTCAGGCTCTGCTGAGCGGGGCACCTACTTCCCCTCTCCCTCTGCCTGCTGCTCTGCCTACTCGTGCTCTCTCTTTGTCAAATAAATAAATGAAGTAGGCACCCAAAGAGCGTCTTGTTCACTCTTCCCATGTTCCAGGTTGAGTTTAATACAGCAAGCACAGGGGTTCTCCTTGTGCAGGTCAAGCAGCAGGAAGGATCTGGAGCAACTCATGGCCCCCTCATCTTCAAGAAGCACTTTGGTAGGCAGACTACAACGAGCATCCAAAAGGCTCACACTGAGGCAGGGTATGAGTAAGGCCAGGAGAGTCATGGGCCATCAGTGGAAACCCCTGGGCTGTGGAGCCAAGGCAAAATCAGGCAGAGCATCATGGGGAAGGTGGCATTTGAGCTGTGGCCTGAAGGACAATTAGGATTTCAGGGAGATGAGGGATAAAGGGCAGGGAGAACAAGTCCAAGGTGTTCCACACAAAAGGACCTACCTGGAGGATGGGGACCAGAAAGCCCAATGTGCGTTAAGGAAGGTGGCCTCAAGTGTCAAGGTTATGGGCGAGCTGGCTGAAGAGTGGTGCCTGTAGCCGGCCTTCCGTGTGTCCTCAGGGTTAGTACACCTTAACTGAAATGGGCTGCTTCCCCAGTTGCTCCCTCCTGATCATGCTCCCTAGAGGTCAAGCCAGGGGATGCCCACTCTCGCAGCACCTTCCACTGCATCTGCTCAGCTCTCTCGTCCCACAGAAGTGCTGGCTCACAGTCCACAGACTTGCCCAGCTCGTGCTGCATACCTAGGAAACTGGAACATCTGTGCAGACAGGCATCCAGACCTGATGTGGGGTTTCTGGGGGACATTACTCCTAGTTTGGTAGAAGAAGGTGTTGAGGGACATGAGGATTGAGTGAGAGGTGGGAGAGATGCAGAGAACCACACACAGCCTCCCCGAGGTCCAGGGAGGCCAGGCCCCACTTCCTGTTCTGATTCCACTGGGCCTTGGCAATGTGCCTGGCCCGTGGAGGTGCCGGAAGGTGTTTCAGTGATGTGCCTTCCTACAGATGGCTCTCTGATGTGACACTAGGGTCCTCCGCTTCTGTCCTCAGACCCTCTCTTGGTCACTGGTAGCCCAGGGCTACCTGCCGTGTTCTTACTGCTGCCCCACCACATGGCTGCACGCCTTCCACCTCCACTCCAGCTCTGAGTCCAGCTCTAAGTCTCCACTCTGCACTGAGTTCCCCTGTGCTGTCTCTCCTTTCCCTGGCCCTTCTCTGGCTTGTCCTGGTTCTGGTTTTGAACACTGGTCTTGTGACTCTAAAAAGAATCTTAAAAGTTGGATGGGGTCTAGATGTCGGAGAAATCCCTTTCCTCCGCGCCTTCTGGTGCCTAACTTTGCTGACTGCAAAGTCACTGAGAGGTCTATTCAGATGCTAGGAATCTGTTGAAATACTTCTTTACCATCTTAGTTTCCAGAATGATTCTGAATAGGTAAAACTTCTTTGAGAAGAACTTGAGAAATATCCATAATAACTGTCCTTTGTTTAAAAAAAAATCTTTAGGACAGCCCCAGTGGCTTAGCGGTTTCGTGCCGCCTTCCACCCAGGGCATGATCCTGGAGTCCCAGGATCGAGTCCCGCATCAGGCTCCCTGCATGGAGCCTGCGTCTCCCTCTGCCTGTGTCTCTGCCTCTCTCTCTCTCTCTCTCTCTCTCTCTCTCTCTCTCTCTCTCTCTGTCTCTAATAAATAAATTAAAAATCTTTAAAAAAAAAAATCTTTAGGGTAAGAAAGTCAAGTATGTATCATCCTGAAAACTTCAGTGACAAAGGGCAGGGGGTGGGTCCGTAGAGCCACAGCTGTCCCGTTCTGGGAAGATGGTGATTCTCTACGTGTCCCTGGGTTTTCGCACCTTGGCACACATGCTCTCACTGGAGGGCCTGCTGCATAGACCCTGCTACTCTGCCGTGTCATCCCCTCATGGTGAAACAGCGAGGGTCCACTCTCCGAGACATGTGGCAGTTCCCCAGGTCCCACTGTCACACCTGTCCCTCACCTTTTCTGCCTTGAGCAGTAACCCAGCAGCTGCCACAGACACCATGGGCTAAAAGACTGGTCTAACGGCCAGACAGGAAGGGCAAGGGTGAAGGGGAGACAGTGGAGTGGTTAAGGGGAAGAGAGTGGCTGGGAGAGAATCAGACCAGAGTCTATGGGCTCAGTTGGCTTGGCACAGCACACTGTCTTTTGCTGGAAAAAAATCAGCCCTTGCCTTCCTTACCTCTGTCCCTTGCTTCTTCTTGAGGTCATCTTATCTTTATGGGTTCCTGCCCTGCTTAGAGAGGAGAGCAGGGGAGCGCCCA